GAGCGTCTGCCCTACAAACCCACCCGCAGTACAGAGGGGCTTTATGTAAAGTCAAACACTCCACCACGATAAACGCTAGCTTTACCTGAGGTAAACCTTACCCGCCAGCTCTGCCTGTTCATAACCGAGGAGCAAAAATCTCACCCCCCCGTGCTACCTCACACCAAGCAGGGCTATCAAATGACACAGACACCGTTTAAGAAAAAATTTACTAATCCGTTAGTACTTCTGCCAATATTGCAACAGAGGTGAAAGGCAAACACTGTTACAGTTTAGAAAAAACAAGTTTTATACAATTAAAATATTAAATCTCAAAAAAAAACCCAAAAAAACAAAAAAAACCAAACCAAAACCCAGTGGCCAAGTAAGACGCCTGGAATTTCAGACCCAGTATTAGCACCTACAGTACCACCAAAAGCCAAAACACTTCATCTGTTCTTTTTTTCTAAATGCTTGCACTCTTTCTACAATTGGACAATGACGCTCAGAACCTAAACCAGGACATCCTTGCTTTGATACGGGAGAAGGATATAAGAGAAAAATATTAAGCCAGCTTGGTTTGCAGGAGCTTTACTGTTGCAGGTATTGCTGAGGAATGTCGATGCGTGGGGGATACTAAATAACGCACAGTTCTACTTTTCAATAGTGTGCCAGCAGACAGAATTAAGAAACCATCTTACACAACATCTAACAGTTTGTCAAATCAATGTTTTCCTATAAATTATATATATAAATCCATAAAGAAACAGTTTTACAATTCACATATTAATCCGAGTAGGACAGGAATTGTTACGTTTATTGGTTCAGCATCCATTTTATTGTACTTACTGTTCCATGAATGAATAGACCCCCCTCTTCTGGCGAGCACTGACAGATGCAATAACAGCACAGATACAGTAGTAGAAAAAACACCAGCCTTAAAGTCCGGCTATTCCTCCCCCTTCTAGGAACAACCAAAACATTAAAACAAACAACACTTTGCCTTCTAGTTTTCCACAAGAATCAGCACAGGAAACGTAAAATGTTTGTTTGCCTTGAGTCACTTCTCGCCAGGCAGAGGCACCGTGTATCCCCTCACTCCAGTACTGAGCTGGAGGGAAGGCCTTGGTTCTGGAAAATTCCCAACTCTAACTTGTAGCTCTCCAAAGCCTGATTGATGTACAGAAGTGTTTAAAAACTAGGGAGGAACAGCACTGCACTTACGTAACTAAAACCAGACTTCTATTGGGCTAAGTGCCCTGTTTCTTTCAGAAGAGTACGTAGCTTTACCACTTCTGCTTTTTCTTGTGAAAAAAAAAAAAAAAAAAAAAAAAAAACCAACTAAAAAGTGATCTCATTGCTTAAGAGTTTGCCACAAAATGGATGCTGACCAGCTAGGTCACCCCACATGGAGCAGTTTTAGGAAGTTAGTCCTTGTAGTAGATGGCACTGTGGATCTGGCAGCAGAGAAAGGAATGATGCTCTTTAGTAGGAGGTAGGGGAACTTTGATACAGCAAGTCCACTGTTGAGCTATCTGCTAGAAAAGAATTTTCATATTATTAGAAACTATTACTAAATAAAACCAACAAAACCCTACACAAACCTTTACATAGCTGTATTTTGTTATCATACAGCAGGAAAGGTAGGGCTACCACATGCTGTGGCAAGAGTAGCAGGAATAGAAGCCAACATTGTGTATTTCATTTGTCTAACAGGAAATAAAAAACCTTCACTTCTTTGTTTCTTTCTGCATAACAGGCATAAATATTTCCAGTCTCCTTTCTGCACCCACTGCCAACAACCTAGACTTAGACTACCATCCCAGGATCTGCTGAGTGCCCAAGACAAGGGAGCCAGTACAAATCTGAGCTTTTCTAAAGCAAAGCTTAGTGTAGTTCAATACCTATTTTGGAAACCCTAGGATAGTAATTTTGCAGTTCTATACTGCATGCAATTTGCACGAGCCTTTATTTTAACATGAATACTTAATAAAGCGCCAGTTCCAGGTCAGGCTTACTTGGGTATGCATGCTTTCAAAACAGATGTTTACTGACCACAAATATTTGCAATTCATCAAACTATCCAGAACTTCATGAGCCAAGTCTTTCTTCATTTTAGAAATTTCAGTTGTTTGAACACTGACAGAACTGGCTTTTATGTAATTGCTCAGAACCCACATCACCTAGGAAAACATTCTGTAATAATTGCTGCGGAATGAGTCATGACAAATTACTTGTGCCAAGTGTATACAGATGCAGTTGATAAAACACAAACTTATTCCAACAGCAGAACACAAGTGCCATGCAATACAACAGATTCCCAAGTGCTAACAACCAGATAACGGAGGCTATTTTGAGACAGAACTGGCATCCATGAGCAATGCCAAGTTACAAGCCAGAGCTATTTAGAAATGGGTGTACATCAGCAAGAATCTCCACCGATTTGCTTTACCAGAACTACCTGGTCTGAGGTACCGCAGAACACATTCAGAAGGAAAAGCTGCATCTTTCACAGCAGCATGGGAAGAACAGGTGCTACTACAGCACCATCAACAATTTTTCTTGAGTATTTATCTCATGCTATTAGTATGAAAACTGTTTGGAAATACAAAATAAGCATTTAAATAGTGATCTGTTTTGAAATCTAGATTTAAGGGTTAGTCTTAAATTTTTGGTTCAGAACCTTATGACAGAATGACTTCATGCAAATAAAAAAAGGTTCTTTTATCTACAGAACAGAGAATAATTTTGGACATAATACAGCATAAGTTAGGTTTATGCATACTTACACAATCAAGACCTGAATTTCTCTAAAGGTAAACCTAGTGCCATCTAATTCAGTGGCATAATCCCAAGAGTTGACATTGCTTATCAGATAGCACTTGTTCAGAAAAGCTAGTCCACACAAGATTCGTGTGAACAGCTTTTTGTTACATACAGTGGCAGAATAAATATTCTGTCTGTGTGACAGAATCTACCCCTCCAAGCACACAAGACATTGATCTGGTATAAGGTCAACATGTACCTGAGACTCCAACGGTTTTATCTTCCACTAGTCATACCTCTGTCTTCATAAATGGTAATTTCAATCTGGACAGCAAAACTGTTAGGGAAACATACTATAAAAGGATTATGAAAACAGATCAGTGGTCTGTCCCGCCCAGGACTGTTCTGACAGCAAGAACACAAGACGCTGTGCACGGAAGGTCTGTCAGCTCTGCCACCTTCTGTTAAATTTCAGGAAAGGCTTTTCGCTAGACAAAAGCTGACACTTCTACAGTTCCGCTACTAAGTCACTAAGGCAAACTGAAAATGCTTTTACTCAAATTGAATGTTTTTTTCCAGGAAACAGATGCACAGAAAAATGTGGAAAACATTTTGAGAATAATGATGTCATGTAGGTGGCAGCTGGACGCTATTTAGACAGATACACAGATAACCCAACTGCAAGAAATTAGCCTTAGCAAGCATTTAATTGGCATTCCATGTTTGGTAAGTGTTACTCATTCTACCCCCACATTTCCTATGGGAGGTCTTTACAACCACTAAGGTAATAAGGAGATAACATGCCTGCAGCGTGGTTCAACAGTCAAAAAAAAGGTTGAAATAAGCCACACTAGAACCAAGAGCAAGAGCGAGGCTGGTATCACCTCACAGCGATTTCATACGGTGAAATCTTCGCCAGAACCTGAGCTCACAGTTGCAGATTAAACAACAGCCAGCTCTTGCTTTCACGTCATCAATTTCTATCCTACCAAGCTGGTAGCTTTTTCCAACTGGACAAACTGCATTTTTGGACGTCACTGAAATAGAGGAAGCATCTAAAGTGTTGGAATTACCCTGTGTAAACATACCGACTTCAAGGAAGTCTCAAAGAATGGTTTCCAATACTGCCTCTTCATTTTCTTGAGATGTGACAAATCGCTATGTGCTAAAATCCAACCAGAGAACAGTACACGATGGGGAGTAACAGGACTAATCCCATATTCTGCTGTACCACAGATCACGCGTGACCAGAGATAAACAGCATATCACAGCTGGACAAACCAGAGACATCTAAGAACCCACAGAAGGATACAACTCTGAGTCCTCTTTCAATGGGGTCTGTCAGGAGGAGGCCCTGGGGAGCATAGATCTTCTCATTCTGTTCCTGAATGAACTTGGCAATTTTCTTTAGAACCTGGTAACAGAACAGCGCAGAAGTCACAGTTAATTGGGCTTCCCTACATGAAGAGTTGGAGCCCCAGCAGTATCGCAGGTACAGCAACATCACGAGAGCCTAGCACATGACAGAGACAGAACCTGCGTGATTCCTCTGAAGTACAAGCAATCGTTATGTTACCCACGCTGACTGGTACAGACAAGTCTCTCTGATGTATACGTGAAATCGCCCTGCAGGGAGATCCAGGGTCTGTACGGAATTTGTACAACAACGGTGCGAGTCACAAAACCTACCAATAAATAAGCCTTTAATAGACACACTGCCTTCCAAGTGGGACGGTAACAAAAGCAGCGCACCTTTTCATAATGCGTCTCCATGCACAAGAAGATGGTGTAGGCAGTCAGGCAGGCGAGACACCCTTCAAGGTAAGATTGGCCCCCAAGCTTTTCAGCTTCTGCATAGAGGTTATTCAGCGTTCGGACAGTCTCTTCAAACTGCTGCCTGTCAATCTGCAAGAGGAGTCAAGTTTAGCTGTCATGCCCTGCACATTTCAGAACTCACCGATATTTTCAGATATCTGCCTTCATTTACTGCGTATTTGCGCTTCCACACTCTGCAGCCACAGTGCTTACAGCCAAAGCCTGAAGGACACAGAGTTACGGACCTGAAGTTCTTTGTTAAATATCTGCTGAGTGATTAGGCCAACTCTGAATTCCAACACCACGTGAACACAATTCAATTGTAAAAAAAAAGAAAAAGCTTAATTCACACGCTTATCAGTAATAATTAAGTAATAATTACATATGAGTAGTGCCTTGCTGCTCCTGCAGTGCTGGACAAACCAGCTCTCAACAAACCAACACAAAACAAAACACAGAAACGGGGAAGAGAACAAGTGCAGTGGAAAAAAGAAAAGGTGTTAGTCTGGTTTTGCTATCAGTTGAAGATGTTACACTGACAGCTTTAAAAAAAATGAAAGTACTTGAGACGGTGCTTGTGAGGCAGCTGAACAGGCTCAGCAGAAGGGGCTGGTCTGCAGAAGAGAGGACAGCGTGAGCGCGCTGCGGAGAACAGCGCAGCTTTGTTCCCACGACACAACGATCGGGTTCTGCCCGGCTGCTGCAAGAGCCAGCTGTCTGCCTCGGGGTTAGAGGAGGCACAGAGCCCCTGCATCTCATAAACGCTGAGGAGAAGCACTTGACACTGTTTTTCATGTGCAAATTGAAAGCATTTTCTTATGCTACGGATCGGAACGCCATTGGGACAACAAACAGCACTCGTATGACAAAAAATAAACACCCGGAGCAGGATCTGCCTTTAACCTGTGGAACCACCCCCCTCGCGCGGGGCTGCGAGAGAAACACGGGGTCAGGCAGCGCCGGTGCCTCGGGGCCGGTCACGGGAGAGCC